AAGGGCTGTGACTTTCGCGAATGACTGAGCTATCAAGTAATTTCTGAATGTGTTCCTTCACCTCTTGGTATTGATTTGGGGGAATTCGTCTGTAGGGTTGCATAACCTGGTTGTCATCCTCCGTCCTTGTGTTTAACCGTCTCCGTGTAGCCAATGTCATCGTCTGACTTTGAAAATACGGAAGCATGCTTGTTCAACAGTGCGTCCAGCTTTTCTTGCTGCTCTGGGGAAAGTCCGTTGCAAGGACATTCAGTATTGTCCATTTCAAAGCCAACATTTCTAATTTCATGGAGCTATAATTGTCCATATTGCGTTCAGTTGGTCTTAGTCGTCTACTTGCGTACGCAATAACCCGTCTCTTTCCTTGAAGTTCTTGGGAAAGAACCGCACCAAGTCCTTGGTGGCTAGCATCAGTCTCAAGTATGAATGGTTGCGACAAGTCTGCATATCCCAATACTGGCGCAGTTGTCAACAAATGCTTAAGCCTATCGAAGGCTTGTTGATAAACAATTTCCCAACGCTTTGGGAAGGGTACTAACAGATGTTTCTTTAGTTTCAGTTCGTGTAAACACCGGTTCTGTAATTCATGCAGTGGGTCAGCGACCTTGGAGAAATCTTTTACGAAGCGACGATAGTAGCTAGCAAATCCAAGAAAACGAGCGAAGTTCTTTCACAGTCTTGGGTACCGGCCAATTTTTCACCACGGATATTTTGTCAGGGTCAGTCGAGACACCGTCAGATGAAACCACATATCCCAGATACGAAACTTCTTTTCTAAGAAAACTGCATTTCTCTCGCTTTATCTTTAACCCTTGTTGCGCTAGCCTCGTTAAAACTTTATCCAGTCTTTCCAAGTGTTCGTCAAATGTTTTTGAGAAAACAATAACGTCATCGAGGTAAACCAACAACAGTTGATAGATCTGGTCGTGAAGGCAGCTTTGCATCAGTCGCTGAAACGTTGCAGGGGCACCACAGAGGCCAAACGGCATTCGATTATATTCAAACAGTCCAAACGGAGTAGTGAATGCGGTCTTCGGTTTGTCTTTCTCTTCGACTGCGACCTGATTAAAACTGCTTGTAAGATCTAATGTTGTAAACCACTGTGCACCATTGAGAGCATCAAGTGACTCGTCTATCCGGGGTAAGGGGAATGAGTCCTTTTGCGTTCTTAAGTTGAGCTTTCGATAATCAACGCACAGGCGAAGGGAGCCGTTCTTCTTTCTCACTAACACAATAGGAGATGCATAAGGGCTGTGACTTTCGCGAATGACTGAGCTATCAAGTAATTTCTGAATGTGTTCCTTCACCTCTTGGTATTGATTTGGGGGAGTTCGTCTGTAGGGTTGCATAACCTGGTTGTCATCCTCCGTCCTTGTGTTTAACCGTCTCCGTGTAGCCAATGTCATCGTCTGACTTTGAAAATACGGAAGCATGCTTGTTCAACAGTGCGTCCAGCTTTTCTTGCTGCTCTGGGGAAAGTCCGTTGCAAGGACATTCAGTATTGTCCACGACGTCTGGAATTGATGTGTTCTCGCTATCTTGCACCGTAACCATTTCTTCGTTGACTGACACTCTCTTGAATTCCACACCACTTTCGATGTTGCTGACTGCGTGAAGAACACCTATCCTTGTCCTTGGCTGGATCCACAAATCGTCATTGGTTAGATTTGCAACTCTCACACAGAAGGGGGATGACGGTCTCACGAGGGTGTTGAGTACCACTAGGTGCGACAAATGTTGTCCAACAACTGGTTCCACCATTGCCATCTCGCACTTCACTTGACCACCCCAACCAGTGGCAGGTATTGTTGTTACCGAACTAGCTGGGATCCGTACTGCACGCTTTCCTGCAACTCGAACGATACCCCGTACTTATGTATTCGCACGACGTTTAGCAGCCTGGATTGACTGTGACCATACAGGATCCCATTTCACATAGTACATTCATTCCAAGGAGACCTGGTACGTCTCTCTTCCGTGCTGTCATAGCATCATTGGCAGAATCCTTTACGACCAGTATTCCTCGTCTGGGCACGTTTAAGCCAAAAGCTTCAATGTCAAGTTCGAAATACCCAAGGTAGGGTATTTCTAACCCATTTGCTGCTGTCAGTTTTAACCAAACACTGGTTGAAAGTAGTTCCTGTCCCTTTGGTTTAAAATGAGTATTAAAGAATTCTTCTGTAATAGTAGAGACCTCAGAGCCTGAATCAAGTAAACATGATACAGACACGCCTCCAATGTTCACAACAGCAACAGGACACTTGCCAATTATTCTTTCTGGTATGCTATGAGAGTCTGCGCCTTCCCCTCCTACTGTCCGACTCGCGACTGTGGAGGGAGACCGTTTGGCGCTGATGTATCTTGGCTATGGACATACGATGAGGGTGGGGCAGTATTGCGTGGTGGGCCATTGGATGGGGGAAGGCCGTCATTCTGGCGTTGACTTGTATTATTCACACAATCTCTTGCAATGTGTCCGACTCCTTGGCATTTAAAACAAATTCTGTTCCCTCTTTCGTCAAAACCGCGGAGAGAGGGGTTTCGGCCGCCTCTTCCTCCCTGATTCCGCTGAATATTATTGTTGGATCTGGAAAGGGAAATAAGGGTTTGGGACAAATTATCAATCGACTTACGCTGCTCTTCGAGGGCTTGCAATACTTTATCCATCTCTTTGTTTGACTGTGTGGTTGAAACTGCTTCACTTGATACATTTCTTTTTGTAGGACGCATCTTTTCATCCTCCTCTGCCCAGTGTAGAGCTTCTTCTCGTACTTCTAGAAACTTAGAGCTGGAGTTGCTTCGTACCATGCGCTTTAATTCCTTCCGTAGAAGTGGGTCTCTCACGTTGTCAGCAAATTGGTCGCGGAGGGCCTGATCACGAGAAGGTATGATGGTGGTGTCTCGCGAATAAATTCGGTTGTAAATCTCACACAGCGCATGCGAGAACTCCCTCAGGGTTTCTGTATCCTTTTGCTTTCGCTCGTAGAATGACTTTAGTAACTGTGGTGTGGTTCTCCGCTCGCCAAAAGCCTCCAATAAGATATTGCAGATTTTATCAGAAGTGTCACGTTCGGCTGTAGGGCGCAATTTGACTTCTTCCTTCGCTGATGATTCCAACAGTGATAACACAAAGTCTGTTTGTTCAATTTGGGTCATTTTCCTAGCTGATATCAAACTTTTCACATTGTCAACAAAATTCTCCACTGTATCTTCATCTGCCTTTCGACTACCAGAAAACTTCTGTATTTTACGCTCTCGGGAAACATACGCAACTTGGGGTGTCTGTGCTGGACTAGATGGTGCATTCTTACTTGAAGTACTAGCCTCGCCCTGGCTAACAGTTACTGCTGAAAGTGCTTGTTTTGTGTGTTTATTCTCATTTTTTAACTTTTCGATTTCAGCCATTAAGGTTTCCAATAAAGAGTTGTCCTCTCCGCCTTGGGCCGTTGCCTCAGCAACATCGCCGCCCTCGTTTTGCTCCTCATCAGACATAGTATTTTAATATTTTACTGCACGAATGTTCAAAATAATCCTGCCGACTACGCCAAATGTGACCGGGACGTAATAGATTCGTGAAAAATGTTTATAATTTTCTTTTATTTTGAACATGTACCCCAAAATACGAGGGCGACGGTTACAAGCGGGCAACTGCCCGAGAATGTTAATTCCCTTTTACTGTTGTTCTTTTCTTCGATATAAATGTTTCTTTGACGATAAAATACTGAATAATATCTTTTGAAATCGCTTTTATATTTGTTCAACTGCATTTTGCAGCATGGCGTGTTCATGACGTCACAGGAAGTGATCATAACAGGAAGTTAACTAACAACAACTATTAAGGTGTCTCTGAGTCTCTCTACAGTTTATTCAACCTGGCCACATATAAACAACTGGAATGGTTACTTACTTAGTTATATATCTTCAACAGTGCCTCTGTCCATGGCGCCATCGTCATATTTCGCTCTTTCAACTCTGATATTTTGGTAGTTGTTTCTCTTATTCTAGTCTGCGCACGGACAATGAACTGGGGCCGGTTGTATAAAAAAGTGATTGATTAATGTTAACTATAGTTAGTGGAAACGTCGTCCAATAAGAAGCGCGTATATACGAGAGTTAATCACTATTTAACTACAAAATAGTGATTAAAAAAATTATTAGAGAGGTTAAGATACCCCGGTTCCGGTTTACGGGTACGAGTAGCGCCACTTTCTTTTTTCTTTTTTCCGTAATTTCTACCCGTTTCCCCGCGGTAAACCATGGTCTACACGTAAAAGACAAACGGGTACGGGTGATTTCTGTTTACTATTTGTGGGCCGTTTAAATAGTAAAAAGTTTCAACATCTTACCCAAAAAATAATGAACACATGCTCGTCAAACTTTTCAACAATCTATTATGGCGAACTTCAACAGCGAAAGTTACCATTCTTTGATGGGCGTTCTCACGCCGGAATATCCTGGATTTCTTAAGTTACAAGTCGTTCACCGATTTACGGGTACGGGTACGTGTATATCACCCGTACCCGTAAACCGGAACCTGGGTATCTTAACCTCTCTATTAAGGTAATTCCGCAGTTTTGCATTGCGCACTTTTACTGCGCACATCTTATAACTTATAATTTCATCCATTATACGTACCGTTTAAAAAAAATCATTTTATGACAATTTTATGTTACTTCAAAACATCTTTGGTTACATTCGTGCAAAGAATTACGTTAAAATCAATGTTTTCAAAAAAGGAATACAAAAGTGTAGCTAGGGTTCTGTGTCTGCAGTAAATTTAGACTTGTATTTCACGTTTTAATGCCACAATTCCCTAAAAAGATCGGAGACCCCGTTTTTTAACTGATAATTTATTTCTTTAATGCATTTTACATTTCATATCCAAAATTAAAAGAAAAATCATTTCTGGATCTTGAAAAAAATTCCTTTATCAATGCATGTTCTCAAAGAAAGATATGTAAAGATATGTGAAAAGACATTTGTGGATCAGAATTGTACACGTTAGTAGTTTCATTTTGCTCAAAACACAATATTTTTCCAAAAATAATTATTATAAGACAGGTTTACTAAAGCAAAATCCGCGCTAAAAACGTCAATAAATATCGGGGTGTTGTGATTTTGCTGTTACTCGTAATGAGCGTCAAGATGGCGCCATATTGGCCGGTAAAGGTGGTATATTGTGATTGTCATATATCTTCTTAACGAGTTCGGTGACCCCGACTTTTTTCAGTGTGTGATTTTACTTTAAGTATATCATAAACTCCATGCCAGGGAAGTTTCAGCACATTCTCATTTCGGGCACAATTACTGCGGAATTACCTTAAGAGTTTTATACAACCGGCCCCTGATGTGCACTGCCCAGCACTGCGCGCAGAAATTTACTGATCTCTTATTGTTCTTAATAATTATGAGGACCTGCGGTTTTGTTCTTCTTAATCTGTTGGTATTTCATTGAGTAATTAATTGTGAATAAAACAATTATTAAACATGAACAAGACACATTACATGTTTTAACATGTAATGTGTCTTGTTCATGTTTTTACTTAAAAGTAAAATACTTCTTTACTACAGCTTCTCAATGAAAGTCTCGAAGGACAACGCAATGACATGTGCAAACGGCATATTTTTTACTCAATGCTTACCTAAATATTGCCGCACTTATTTCTAAAGTATTAGTTTTTATTGGCAAATAACAAAATATGGTAAGTATCATGACTGGCAGAGAGAATTGCTAACCGAGATAGCTGAATGAATTCATGGAAAATAAAGCTGAATGAACTGGACACGGTCACAGGTAGCCTTAATTATTATTAGTAGTAATACTGTATCATATCAGTATATTATTATAGTATTACAGAACTATTATTATTATTAGTGTTATTATAACTATTTTTAGCAATATATAGCTCATATAGCTCACTTTTGAAAGTGAAAAGGGCACCTAAAAAATTGTTCCCGCCGGAAATGTTGGCGACGGGGGGAGGACGGGAGAAAAAATTTCCGGTCATGGCACATTTCATGCTTAATATAATACATTTTCTTAAAATAATTTTCAAATTCCAACGTTATTGACCAATTAAATTGTTTTTAAAAACATCGAAATTTCCTCAATAAAAGGGCACCTTTGATGTTAAAATAGTATTTACAGCAACATTAATTAGCTTGTACAAAAAGGGCATTTTTCATCACAAAAATGGGCACTTTGAACAAATTGGGGAGAGGGGGGACGTGCCCCATGTGCCCCCTGGTTCCTACGCCATGGTTGCGCGTTCGAGAAAGACAGTAAAACTTTCGTTTTAAAACTGAAACGTTTTTATCCCAGGTAAAAAGATTCTGGAAATAAGTGAATATCGGATAATTTGGGGCATATCTGTGTGATTCTCATCAGAGTCATATCCGACAGTGGATAACATCGATATAAATAAAGCCGAGTCAGATGTTTGCATCCTTCAGCCAGTCTTAAAACACAACCATCAACTTCATATCTTGCAAAATGTTCAAACTCAAGCATCTCCAACTGGGGACATTGTCTTGAAATAACATATAATACAGCATCAGTCACTCCGCCGGTAGTTCTCATCAAACCGACTGATAACTCTAATATTGGAACCTTCTCCAAGAATTCACGTATACCAGAGTTTGTTATACGTCGCATTCGCTTGAGGTTTATAGATTTCAAGAGAAGACAATTATCTGCAATGATTCCCAAGCCCTGATCTGTAACTTGATGGCAATTTTCAAGACTTATTGTGGTTATATTTTTGCAATTTTTTACCAGAGCTTCCAAGCCAAAGTCTTGCACTAGTTTGCATCTCCCTATATTGATACTTCTAAGATTTGGACAATTCTTTCCGATGTAAATAAGCGAACCATTCGAAATTCGCATACATCCTTCCACGTTTATATATTCCAATCCTGGACATGCTTGTACGATTTCTTTCATTCCCTTATCGAGGATTTTTATCCTACTTGCAACATTTAGATTCTTCAGTTGTGGACAATAACGTGAAATGTATGTTAGACTATTGTTGCCAACGCGTCTACATTTTCTTCCAGATAAGTTTATCTCACGAATGCTTGTTGTTCTTCTTAGAATATATTTCACGGACTTGTTGTTCACTTTCCTAATTTGCATATCCTGCGAAAGATCTAGGTTTACCCATAAACGTGAATCATAGCATAATCTGTGCCACCTCTTGCAAACAGCGGATACCATTATCAACTCTCTCAATTTAAAATATGAAAATATCTGAAGTAAAACTTGGTCAGGTAAGAAATAAATCGCCGTTTCATCCACGTGTAGAAACTCTGCATTCATGATGCATCTATAAATCGAAAAATCCAAAGAATAACTAATTGAATAAATATATATTTTAAAAACACTCTGGTTAAAATTTTCCTGCAGGGTAACCTTGAAATAACCCGGTATGGGTTAACTTATGCATGGTTAAATTTCCTATTTATTTTAACCTTTTCCGTACTATAGTCCATGACCAGGACTTCCTAGTTAAATTAACCAGATTATGTTAGGTAGACAAATAACTATGGTGAGCCCCTGGTTATTTATCCACCTAACATAGTCTGATTGTTTTAGCGACGTCCTTGCAGGGGCGGCGCTAAAGGTGTGTGTGGGGGGGGAGGTTTGAAATACCCCCAGTCGTCGGGTAGTCGGAAAACTATTGAATCCCAATGGGCAAATTGTTTTCGTAATCGGCAAAACCTGAATTGGACAGCAAGGGGAAAAATAAAATATTTGAGTGACACTGATTTTAAAAAACTAATAATTATAGCTAACAACGGTACGTTAACCCAAAGAAAATAGAAAAGATAATAATGTTGGCAACCCCTCTCCCCCCAAAATGTTGGCAACCCCTCTCCCCCCAAGAAATTAACTTAATGACTCGGCAGAATTTCACATCCACCCCCCCCATTAAATTGGACTAGCGCTGTTCTTGCATCCTTGCATGCATGATCAAATATAACTAGATTTCTGGTTATATTTATTAACTAGATTATGGTAGGAAACCAGGAATATTACCAAACAAGACGCCGACTTGGCGTTAACCTCGGGTCGGTGGATAGGGCATCGTCTGGTAAATATGCAAAAATGGTGTAAATCACGATAGTTTAATAGTTCGCTAGTATAAATGGTGGATCAGTCAATCAAAGCTCCGTTTTAACATTTTATTGATAATAATTACTGACCCTCATCAAACCTATTGTTTTCTCTCGCTCTGCATTATATCAGCGGATGTCGAGAATTTTTAACGTTCTACTGAAAAACGGGAGCGGTGATTGTAGCGAAATTTCGGCCCAAGGTAAATATTTATGCGGACTAAAAATAGCACACAGCATTATTAAAAATAATGCAGCATGCAGACATTAGCGGTAGTGCATCTTCGTCAGCGGCCACCCCAACATGCACACGCGATAGCGTGAACATCCCAAGATGGGAAGGGGACAGTGCCTGAAGCGCTGCCAAAAACGGCCACCATGAGTCCTTTCAGTTCAATTTTATAGAGAAATAGTTTCGTTTGCGCTTGTGGGATTTTATCCTAGATATACGCATGTGCAGAACACACCATAAGTTCTATTCCCGTGTTTATCCAATACGCTATTTGAATAAACCTTATCATTAATGATAATATGTAAACTAGAACACTATAATTGACCTCCGCTTGTGGAGTTTTAATTTAGGGCGATTAATTAAACTGAAATCTGTTCTATCACGATGCACTACAGTGCCTATGGTTATGTCTATATGTGTGTCCTCACAAATGTCTAGTATAACGTTGGATAGGTTCATTGTCATACGGTCCCGACAAGCAGCAACGTACAGTAGTCTTCCAGCCGAAAATAATTACTTTTGATTCGGGTCAGTAATTATAATAGATAACAAGTGAAAGTTGGCCGCGGTATTCGCATGCTATGCATACGAAGTATTGTGCATTATATCAACATATACTCGAGAATAGTTATCCAGCTAAACATTTATGTCAAAATTATCACATCTTCTGGTTTATCAAATTATCACATCTTCGGATTTTGTGCAAGGACAGCTTCGGGTTACCGGAAGTTGTCGTCTCCACCACAGGCTCTTCGACTACGCACGCTGCTCGACACAAATGGAAAAAAAAAAAAAAATAGGAGCCGAATTTATGACCTCGGTGTCGTACCGACCCGAGGTAATAATGTTATTTCTAAGTTTTAACCAGGACATTTTTGTAAGCTAAAATTCAAGCCAATTGTCAGCTGTCATGCAGTAATATCAGTTAAGACATTTTGTTTGCTATCGATAAAAAATATCGCCAAATTTCATCAGTCAGTCAGTAACTTTTCGGTTTCTGCATGAATCTTTTCGATCTAGGACGGGAGAACCAATCAGGTTTCCGTTGATCTCAATAGTTTCAGATAAGTAATGTATATCAGTAAAACTGAGTGTCATGTGTTCTTCATAGAACGCTTCTGTAATATAAATCAGTACTGTATTGAATATAACCTATACAAGAATGCTGAATACTCAGGAGTTTTCAGGATACAGTCATTTCCAAATCTATATATAACACTCACTGATCCTAAATAGTCCATCGGTCTAGATACGCTGCATATTTGCATGTATTAGGAAATCTGCATCAGTATTTAAACCAAGCCGAAACGAAATTGTATAGTAGATTATTTCTAGACGACTGAGTTTAATGCCTTATATAATTACCTTTGTCTCTGACTGTACCTTGCTGAATTCGAATATTACAATTTTACGAGTAGGCGCGTTATCTACTGATACTAACTGTAAATTAAATCATGAAGACAGGAGCATTATCACGAACCTGTTATCAGGCAGCCAATCTTCGTCGGGCCTCCTCCAACGAAAAAATCTAAGCATACGTGACAAACGTTGCAACGGAAGATTACCCATCACATAGTGCTAAATGCGTTACAACTACAACCGAAATTCAGAAATTCTATCCCTCGTTCGTGGTTGTATTCTTTCGTCAATGTCATTGCATAGATATGGAATCCAATTAATCCCCCATAGCAGGTTGTTTTGGCATTAAGCGCGTCATGTCCCATGTCTTATTTCCCAAACAACAAAAAATTCAAACCAAGATGCGAATTAGCTTAACCAACATTTAACCATATCTCCACAGTATTTAGAAAACAAATTAAACCAACTTTGTTTTCCCCAAACAATGTAATTATCCCTTATGCTGTTATGGAATAATCAATGAGCTCCTGCGAGTCTTGAGCCTCGTACCTCTAAAATATAATAAGCATCAAGCACTTTTGTTATCAAAATTGTGCTTTCTGACATTTTGAAGGTTGTACAATCAGGGCTATCGATATTCACGAGTACATTGATGAATAATTTATTTGCAAGAGTCAAGACCTGTTGTTTTGATTTGATTATGTAAAGAGACTCAAAACAACCGGATTGAATTCTGTTTGGGGAGTTTAAATCACTCTTCACACGGGTCTTTTTCGCTTGCACGAATTTAACTATATCCAAATTTGAGTTTTCACGGCATGTATTAAACTGGACGAATTCCAGCAATGTGAATCTCTCTCCTCCGTAGAGATTGCTTAATTAAGCCTTTGAAATCAAAGAACTTTCACGAAGCTTCCACAGAGAGCGAAGTAAGCGCGGGGGGAGTGATGGGAAGATTGTGGAGCAGTGATATGAATATAACTGGAACGCGAAATCTGACTCCCAGAAACGTCTGTCTGGGGGTTAAGACCCACGTGTTTATACTTCGCGATACTCTCGCGAGACCAGTTGTGAAAACGAACATGCCGTTTTAATAAGGAAAACTGAAAGTACAGTCTATTAAGAAGTTTTACCTGAATAGACGCATTAATAGAACGTTTTAAGCTCTGTTCAATTAATTAAAAGCTCTTTTAGAAGTAAATTGTAAGCCGGTTTCCAAGAATACATATCCATGTTGACAGATTTAACAATGCTCTTAATTTGCATGCGTGAAAAGACTGGGACTGGCCTTCAAGTTTGACTTCAAATTTCCGGTTGGAGGTGGTCATGAGAATTGTTCATAAGTAGTGGAGCGCAACGTCCGTTTGGTCTTTCCTTCATTCTCTGCACTCTTTCCTCTTCCGAAGTTTAAAGGCCCGTTTACACTTTTATTTTTGATTAGTGATTGCATTAGGGGAGTGAACGTTTAGTCCAAGAGGAGAAAGGGGGTATCGTAACCCGAGCAGGGAATTTATGAGAATATGTGACTTTGGTCAATTTTGGGGCGCTGATTTCAAAAATCGACGTTATACGGGCCAATACCGGGGCCTTCAGCCTCGTTTTGATGCATATAGCCTCGTTTTGGGGCATACATAGGGAACACGCTAGTTGTCTTAGTTAGCTAGGGAAACCAGTGATTTTGGTCAATTTCGGTGCACTGATTTCAAAAATCGATGTTACACGGGCAAATACCGAGGCCTTCAGCCTCGTTTTGGTGCATGCAGAATCGTTTTGGTGCAAATAGATGGAAATCATTAGTTAGCTTAGATAGGCAAAGTCGTTGGTGATCTTGGTCAATTTCGGTGCGCTGATTTCAAAAATCGACGTTACACAGCAAAATACAGAGGCCTTCAGCCTCGTTTTGGTGCGTACAGCCTCGTTTTGGTGCCTACATATGTGCTTTAGATAGCCAAGGAAGTTGGTGATTTTGCTCAATTTCGGTGCGCTAATTTCAAAAATCGAAGTTATATGCGCAGATATATTGGAACCTCTAGCCTCCGTTTGATACACATATCCTTGATTTAGTGGAACTATTGGGAAGATCCTACTTAAACAAGCAAGAAAGCTAGTGATTTCTGCTCTTTTTGATAAAAAGCAATACTGTTGCCCTATTAAATTGAGGTCATGTTATGCATTGCATTAAAAAACATGTACATTCTGATCACAAACCTTGCACTTTCCTTTTCAAAATTCACTCGTGTCTTCAATTTCCACATCCAAATCATCCTCGTAGTCATCATCGGAGGACAAACTGTTCTAACTCTCCGTGCCTGCGAGTAGCGCATCAATCTCCCCGGGATAGGAAATGTCACTCCAGACAACGCTTCCATCTCCGTCCCATCCATGCTCGTCGGGGCTCTCGAGTTCTACTAGCAGCTGATCGGCGTGTCAAAAGATGTACGCGTCATAGTTAGCTCTCATGATGTGATGATAAAGATTTGACTGGCATAGTGGCATTAGACAAAGGTCAATGATCTTTTTCTTGTTGAACTTGTTCCAAAATACTTTCTTCCTTGCCTCATTGACTGAGAGGATACGTGGATGCTCGTATATAGAACAGACGAACCATTCTA